TTTTTTGGTTTTTCGAGACAGGGTTTCTCTGTGGCTTTGGAGCCTGTCCTAGAACTAGCTCTGTAGACCAGGCTGGTCTCGAACTCACAGAGATCCGCCTGCCTCTGCCTCCCGAGTGCTGGGATTAAAGGCGTGTGCCACCATCGCCCGGCCGCAAATTTACTTTTGAGGGGGGTAAGATGGAGATCATTTAGAGCAAACCGAAATTTGCAGATGGCGTCTTCGTGCTCCCCTCATTAGCTCCGCCGTCTTGTCTTTCTTCTTTGTATGTCTTTCCCTTTCTCCCTCCCCACGCCCCAGACAGCGGTCTCCTCTAGCAATGCTTAATTACGGAGATGATTTTTTTGAGCCCTATCTTGTATTGTTGGTAAAATAGCGACGTCTCAGCAGGGGCGCAGGTGACCCTGAACCGAACAATGAATATGTATTGCAGATCTTCCTATTCTGAGTCTCCTGTATATACTTCGCAAGCTTTAAAACGTATGCCCTATAGTAATACAGACAACCCTAACTCTAGCGAATAAAACACAACTCTCCACTTCCAAATAAAACACAACTTTTCTAACTAGCTATTTAAGACTTTGGAATAGTCCATCAGGCTGGAGGGGGAAGAATGTCTGTAAATTCTACTTTAATTAGACCTGGATTCATATTATAATTCAGTAGAAAATCCATAGAGTTTGATTTTTAATTTAGTGCAGATGTTCGACTCAGATAAAGCAATCCTTCTTGGTTTACCTTCTTATTTCCTCACCAATCACACTTCTCCCCTCTCCCGGAGTCAAGTGGATTTGCCCGGCTCGCCCCGCCCCGCCCCACCCCCGCGCGGGCGCAGACCGATTGCTCCCAGCCGAGTGGCGGGAAAGGCTGCGGACCCGCACCTCAGGGCCTCCGGCTGTCCGAGGTTCCGGGGAACTCACAGAGAGCAGGTGAGTGTATCGAGAGGACCCAGGACCGACCTGGGCAGCTCCGAGGCTGCGGGGCTATGTGCGACCACGTCGCCGAGGCCGCGATTCCCGCCGCGCAGTTTAAAGGCGGGGGGGGGGGGGGGGGGGGGGGGGGGGGGGGGGGGCGGGGCTCCCGGCGCGTACGCGCGTTCTGATGCTGCTCCCGGCGGGCTTGCAGCGCCCTAGCCGCGGGTCCGCGCCTCTGTGCAAGCCTTGGCCCTCGCCTGGGCATGGGGCTGTGAGCCCAAGAGTTCCGGAAGCAGAGCAGGAGGCTCCCGGGGATTGCCACCTTGCAGCTCGCCATCCAGTCCTGACCCGAGGGCTCATCGGCTCGGTGGCCGTCAGGAGTTGACTTTCGGGATTTTATAGAGTGGGTTTAATTCTCTTCACCCCTCCTCCCCCGATTTAGTAGGAGGAATAAGAGCCATGAATTAAGCTTCTTTCCGGGAGTGCCATTTCTTTGTCTTTGATGCTGTCACTAGAACTTTATTTATTTATTATTTTGGTTTTTCGAGACCGGGTTTCTCTGTGGCTTTGGAGCCGGCCTGGAACTAGCTCTTGTAGACCAGGCTGACCTCGAGCTCACAGAAATCCGTCTGTCTCTGCCTTCCGAGTGCTGGGATTAAAGGCACGAGCGCCACCACTGCCCGTTTAGAACCTTCTTTTGGGGACCAAAACAAACACGTGCCCGTCGTTTTACCTTTACTTTGAAACTCCATTTTACCCATCCCATTTGACTCCTAACCTCAGGGAAAGGATGTGTTACCTGCTTTTCGATTTTTTTTCTGCCTTTCCTGGGAAGTTCTCGTCACTTCTCTCAGGTGAACACGTCGTTGAGGAGTAAGTGTGGCTGCCCTAATATCCAGCAATTCCAGTTATCTCGCTTTCCAAGCTGGTCACTCTCCCCAGCCCTACTTTTTTAAAAGACAGGGTCTCTGTATCAGACGAGATGGCTCAGCTTGTTGTGCCTGAAGAACTGGGTGCAATCCCCGGAGCCCACGTGGTAGGAGAGAACAGACTCCTGCAAGTCGACATGTAAATAAAGGACAGTCCTGGCTGGCCTGAATTCTCCATGCAGACCAGGCTAACCTTTCACTCTCTCTATGTTTCTGAAGTTTATCATACCTTTGTCTATTAGCAATGACTCTAACAAAGTGTGCTGAGCTCCTAATGATACAGTGTGCACAGAGATGAGGACTCGTTCTGCAGTCCTCCCTAAATCCTCACTGTGCTCCCTGCCATAAGTCCTGATGCCTCCAGATTTTCCAGCCTTGACCCCCCACCCCACTACTGAGACTTGTCTGCTTTGGTCTAGGAAATGGCATTTATCAAGCACGCACGTACGTTATTGCTGGGTCCAAGAGTTGACGTTTAGTGCAGCTGCCAGCTGAGTTGAATCAGAGGCACCTGAGAACATTTCCTTTCCTTTCTCATCTTCCCACAGTGAGAGCTGAACCAAAGACCCATGCACACCAAGCCTTGGCACTACATCCTAACTCCCCCGCCTTAGTTAAAGGGAGAGGCCCCTGAGTTACCCACACTGGTCTCTGCCCTGTGATCCACCTGCCCGAGGCTCCCAGGTGCTGGGGTTACAGATGCCCCCCTACTCCCAGTGTAAGCAGCAATAGGAGTGGAACCCAGGGCTTCCTGTGTCCTCGGCAGCCAGCTGAACTCTATCCCCTGAGCACCCAGTAGCATTATTAGAACACTGCCCAGGCTCCACTCCCTGGAAGTCAGTAACCATACCCTGAAAAATCCACGATGATTAGAAACAGCCCTTGTCCTCACAGACTCTAAGACTAGTGTGAGGGCAGTCAGCCGTATTAAACAACCTGCTTTAGTATGTACACAGAATGTAAATGCCATGAGGCAGAAGTCTGTATGTGGCCCTGGGAGGAGAGGAGATGGCTTTACAACTGAGCTGCGTCCCCAGCATGAACTTGAACCCCCCCCCCAAGATACTACCTTTTTGGGGGGGGTCGAGATAGGGTTTCTCTGTGTGACAGCTCTAGCTGTCTTAGAACCCTGGAACCAGCTCTTGAAGACCAGGCTGGCCTCAAACTCACAGAGATCCACCTGCCTCTGCCTCCCGAGTGCTGGGATTAAAGGTGTGCGCCACCACCACCTGGCTCCAAAGATTTTACTTTTAATTACATGAGTTTATGCAGTTTTCTGTAGAGACACTTGCTCTTCTGTGAGCTGCTATGTGGGAACTGGGAATTGAAACCTGGGTGCTCTGGAAGAGCAGCCACCTCTCCAGTCCCAGCACAAACTTCCTTGAAGAGAAATCTGAGCAGACCGCTCCATGACTGTGCCAGTACCCTTTCTTTTCCAGAGGCCCAAACTGAGACTGATTTGGTAGAGGGTGGGCAGGCCTGCAGCATGCGGTGAGCCACGGTTCTGACGCCGTCTTCCGACCTCACAGTGCATGGTTGCATCCTGCAGTCTTTAATGTTATCCCCCGCGTGAAAGCTACTGAGTTCAGTGCATTCTGGAGAAGATGGTGACTGATGAAGATTCCTGATCTCCCTCAGGAATGGGTAAAGAGTAGAGGGCGTTTTGTGCATCTGGGGTATTACTGTCAGGTCCTGAGTCACTTAGGAGTCTGGGTTGTGCCCACATGGTTACCTAGAGAGGGTGCAGGGACCTGGATGAATGAGGACATGCTTCTTGAGAAGAAAGTGCTGCAGCTGGGGCCATGGAGAGGTTTGGCTTGATTGTCTCCGCTTGCTGCCTTTACTTTCTGGTCTGCTAGAGCTGACTTCTGCTGGGCCGGATGAGGAACTTTCTTACAGATCTCAGGGCCTCAAGCCGAGGAGATCCTATGAGGTATCTCTCCCAGGGGGCTGGAGGCAGCTCAGCTGGTGGAAGTGTCGTACAAGCACAGTGACCTGCATTCAAGCCTCAACACCACGTTAAAAGCCAGGCTTAGTGCTTTGTGGTTGTAATTTCGGCGCTGAGGAGGCAGAGACAGGAGGATCTCTAGGGCTCTCTGTCTGGCCATTCTTGTCTGATCAGTAAGCCCCAAGTCCCAGTGAGAGGCCTTGTCTCAAAATGATGAGCTGGAGGCTCCTGAGGAACAATACCTGAGGTTGACCCCTGGCCTCCACACACGTACACAGACAAGCACATATATGCCCCTGTGGACTCCACCCCCTACATACACAAATCTTGTAATCAGTGTGTGGTTGCAGGGAGGCCCACGTGGAGGTCAGAAGACAACTTGCAGGCGTCAGTCTCTCCTTCTACCATGTGGGGCTCTGGGTAAATACTCAGGTTCTCAGCCTTGGCGGCACCCTTACCTGCTGAGCCATCTCTCCAGTCCCCAGCTAGGACTCTTAACTCCTGTGGTACATGTGGACCAGGGCCACATGAGGAAGAACTGTAGAAGACGAAGGTTCAGTCTGACCCCTCCCAAGAGCAGAGCTCCCCAAGGTGGAGGTCCCAGAGCCAGTCCTCCTTTTTCCTGCTGGGTGGTCTTAACTCTGAAGCACGTTTCTCTGGTTTCAGGATGTGGCTCTAGTGTGGGCCAGGTCTTAATTCATACACTGGAGTTTCTTTAGTTTTTAGTACAAAGAAGCCTCGCCTACCATGCACAGGGGCCTCCCTGAGTTTGATTCCAAGTACCACAATTGATTAGTAAAAAATTTACTTTCCTGGGGCTGGAGAGATGGCTCAGTGGTTAAGAGCATTGACTGCTCTTCCAGAGGTCCTGAGTTCAATTCCCAGCAACCACGTGGTGGCTCACAACCATCTGTAATAAGATTTGGTGCCCTCTTCTGGCCTGCAGGCATACATGCAGAATACTAAGAATACTGTATACTTAATAAATAAATAAATCTTTAAAAAAAAGAAAAAAAATTACTTTCCTGCCAGGTGGTGGCGGCGCACACCATTAATCCCAGCACTCGGGAGGTGGATCTCTGTGACTTCGAGGCTTTCAGTACAGCCAGGACTACACAGAGAAACCCTGTCTCAAAAAACCAAAAAGGGGGAAAAAAAAGACTAAAAAATAATTTTTTCTTGGCCTGGGGGCATCACTTTTAGTTCTGACAAAAGTGAAGCCCAGAATATTCTTGAGTATTGAGCCCTCGCTTGTCTGTTCTCACCACACAGGGCCCCTGCCCTCTCCCTTGTCTCTGGTGTCTGAACTTGTCCGTGATGAACTGTGAACTTCTCGCCACGTGTAGTGCCCTTGGGTACTTGGAAGGGGACACCTACCACAAGGAGCCAGATTGCTTAGGTAAGCGCTCATCCGAGGAATCAGGTGGAAACACACTGATTGAGGTCTGGTGGATTCCTCGGACTGTACTAATGGGCAGGGGGCTGTGTACGAATGGGCGGGGGCAGCTCCTGTGACCTGGGGTCACAGGCCGGTGTTTTATTCTCTCTGAAGAGAGTGTGAAGGATCTGATCCGGTACTTGAGGCATGAGGACGAGACGAGAGACGTGCGCCAGCAGCTGGGGGCCGCACAGATCCTGCAGAGCGACCTCCTGCCCATCCTCACCCAGCACCGCGGTGACAAGCCCCTCTTCGATGCTGTTATCAGGTTCCTTCCTTGGCCTTTTGACTTCTGACAAGTGCAACATCTGTTGGCAAGGAGACCTAATTCCTTCTTCCTTCGTTGTCTCCCAGGCTGATGGTGAATTTGACTCAGCCAGCCTTGCTCTGTTTTGGCAGCGTGCCTAAGGACCCCAGTGTGCGGCACCATTTCCTGCAGGTTCTAACTTACCTGCAAGCCTACAAAGAGGTGAGGAGCCTTTCTCCAGAGGTGCTAGGTCCGAGTATGGAGGGGGATGAAGGGGAAGATGGGCACTACCACGCAGCTGTTCCCTGTTCAACAGGCCTTTGCCAGTGAAAAGGCTTTTGGAGTCCTCAGTGAAACCCTGTATGAGCTGCTGCAGCTGGTGAGTGAGTCTCCGCCCTCTGCCTCCCACAGGAGAGGATGCCTTCACCTCTCCAGGCAGAGGAAGGCGCAATGCTGGGGAAGGTTCTCAGCCCTTAGTGGTATGGAAGTCCGCTCTGGAGTTTCTAGCCGCCTGGGGACTGCTGCGCGCACACGCGCATGCACGCGCACACATACACACATCCCACTTTCTTTGCTTCCTTACTCTTTTTCTTTTAAAGTTTATTTTATATGTATGCGTGTTTTGCTGGCATGTATGTATGTGTACCATGTGTTGGGTGCCCTCGGAGGTCAGAAGGGGCATGGGAGCCCCGGGACCCGTAGCTGTGGATGTTTGGGAACTGCCGCGTGGGTGCTGGGAGCTGACTGCTGGTCCTCTGTGAGAGCAGCCAGTGCTCTTACTGCTGAGCTGCTTCTCCAGCCCCAGGCCCCGCCTGTTGAGATT